GTGAGGTGATTGATATAACCCGACGTGTTGACGATAAGTGGTTAGAGGGGAGGATCTCAGGGACCAACCGGAGCGGCATCTTCCCAGCCAATTATGTCCAGGTCAACAAGATGCCCCGCACCAAATATTCCACGGATGACTACTCACCTGGCCCACTGTCTCCTGTCTCCCCTGGACCCCAGAGTCCAGGACGTCCACTCCACTCACCCTGCCCGCGGTCACCGTTATCCCCTTTCACCCCTACTTCCCTCAGCCCCAAACCAGAGCACTCCCCCCTGAAGCCGTCGTCACCCGTACCTTACGGCAGCCCAGCTTCACAGTCACGCTCCCCCACCCAGACACCCGTATCCAAAGAAATGGCTAATTGGTGGCCCCACAGTACCTCCAAAACTGCTTCACCTTCCAACCAGAACAGCCACTGGCCTGGGACACACTCAGCTAACCAGAGCTCCATGACTAGAGCTGTTTCACCTCCCACTCAGTCATCAGCGTCTGTACACAGAGCAGGAGCTGCCACAGCGCACACTACCAGATACACTGACCCCTCACAGGTCTGCTCTCACTGCCTGCCTGAGAAAGTCACTGCATGTCCACACCCGGTGTTACTTTTTGTGGCGACAGGAATGTTGTTCATCATTCTTTAGTTCATTATGTCTGATATGAGGTTTCTCTTTCTTCCAGGGTGCAATACCAAACCAGGCTGCTCCGTCTAATCCACATGTCAACTCCCTGCCGCACACGCAAGTGCCAAACAACCCTGGTTCAGCAGTGGGGCAACGCCAACCGTACGTCTCTAGATATTTATTTGTTTACATTGTTACAGACCAAGTGTTGCTTTGGTGAATTTGTGGCTCAGACCATTTGTTTGTCTTTTTTTTTTCTATGTTCTCTATTTTAGATACAAAGCTGTTTACAACTACAAGCCACAGAATTCAGATGAGTTGGAGCTCAGAGAAGGAGACATTGTGCAAGTGATGGAGAAATGTGATGATGGCTGGTTTGTAGGTAAGAGAATAAAGAGATCAATATAAAAGATAAAATCACAAAGATTGACATTTTCAGTATATGTTACTCTCTCAATCAGTCCCTACAGGAAGTTGTGATCGCAACAATTAATGTAAATTCAACCAACCCTAGTGAATCGCACAACCTTTGTCCAATCACAGCAACTTTTTCACAATTTGACCAATCATTGTAGTTTCCTGCACAAAGCGTTGAGCCATACATCACCAAAGTCACTTTCCAGTGGTACAAATGCAGACATGTGCAACACAAACATCTCACATTTACTCTGTCAAAACCATGTGTTTTTTTTCTCACTGGTTGCCTTCGATTTTTAATGAATTATGCAAAACAAAACAATTTATTTAGAAAAGCTACTGTGAAAGAAGACATATTATGCTGCAACAATCCCAAAAAAAGTCTACGAACTCCTGCAGGGACATTATAGGTACTGTGGAAACATACAGCATAGTGACGCACGGAAGATGTATGTAAAGATAAGTGAAAAATGTGAGAAAAGGCAAGAAAGTGTCTTGGTTTAAATTCACATGAGCCTCCAGAATAGCTTCAACGCCTCTTGTGAGATAGAACATCTATCTTCTCGAAGATTTTGTTTTAAAACATGTTGGTCTAAAATCTTTAATAAGTTAGATAGGTCTTTGTTTGTGTTACGATTAGGTGTTTTTGAAGGCCATAATTCACATATTCACACATATCAAACAGTTTACTGGCTCCTTGTGTCCTGTGTATAGTATCTGCATATCTACATTTATTTAAAATAGGGATTGTTAAAAAAATAACTAAAAACAGCCTGTGATGTAGCAGCTACTGACTAATGGGAATCACTAAAGATAAAACTTAGTAAAGGAACGGATATTATAATAGGTCTACAGTCTACTAATAAAACACAAAATAATGAAATACAATTTCATAGTAATTGCAAAAAATGAATTTGAGGCAACTAAGTTTCTTTGCTTCTTTGTGAACAATATCGAAACAATTCTGCAGTGTCAGCACCCCCTCTAGTGGACATCAGGACACACTGCAGATGTAATTGGCACAAGAACTTAAACTATACATTGTTTTAGTTTTACAATATTATAGAATTGAATATATTCATACATTGATTTGTTTCCGTTGTGTGACCACGGTGTGTGCTCTGCTCCCTGTAGGTACGTCAGAACGGACTCGTGCTTTTGGGACTTTTCCGGGGAATTACGTGGCACCGGTTTGACCTCCCCACTTGCTGCTTGCCCACATCCACCTGGAGCCCAACCAATCACTTACACTCACTCCAACAGATCCTGCTTTGACACCCCAGCGTTTCTTCATCCCATTTACCCAACCACACTCCTACATCTGGTTTAGTCAGACCTGCATGATCTCTCTGTTTCCCAGAACAGAGGTGACAGCAGGGACATATCTCACCTCACCTCCCTGCATGAGTGCATGCCTCTCTCTCTGTGTGTGTGTGTGTTCCACTGAGACATGGAGAGTGTTTTCAAACACACCACTTGAGAGGAAAGAATGAATGCTGATGATACTGTTTCAGATGCAAAGAATGGACTTTTTTGTTTCACAACCATTTGCAGCTGCAGGAAATTTGCATTCCTTCCCACTGAATAACACTGTTCCCTCTGAGGTCCTGATACAGTATGATGTTGCATTCAGCTCTTTGTCACCACAGTGCCATCACAAACCACTGCAAAGAATTTTTTGAATTGGGGTGGCACATTTTTTCTGGCATTTCAGTTGATTAATGTTTCCCCTCAAATATCTTCCTCAGATTTTCTTTCAGATCTCTGAAAATACCCTGGGCAAGTTTGAGGAAACAACACCAAACATCTGTAGACATGTGTCTTTTTTTCACAAGAGTTTCATGTCTTAAAGTGAAGTGCAGTAAGGGCTCGGACATGTCAAGATACGTTTACAGCCCTTCACTTGGCTATGCAGAAGAGCAAATATAATTATTGCATGTACTGGTCTTTTAAGCAAGTTATTCATTTGAGAATATTTGGCTTTTTTGGATGATCTTGAGTGGATGAGATAGATTATGTTCTGTTCTGTAATAGAAGTTGTTTTACTCGTTGTCGAATGTCGAACCTCTGTAAGTCGTACAAGATCAGCTCCAAGTTAAATCTACAAAAATTCCTTCACAGCAAATGGTTTAATGATCTTTTGAAGTTGTTTGAAATAATGCTGTACCGTGCCAAATCTAACCTTTCGTGTTCCTCTTTTAAATTCTCCACTGAACAATACCAGCTGACTTTATTTCTGCTACATTTGCATCTTTAATGTTTTCTCTGCTTACGGGATTAACACTCACTTTGACAGTATTTCCAGAACCACTTACCGTATCAGTGCCACCTTTGACAAATGTGGCCTTTCTAAGTCTAATTAGAAATGCTTATCATGAAGTAATTTTGCAGTTTTATATGATATATTCATGATTTTACTGTAAAAAAGAATCATATTTAGTAGCCACATGAGATGATTGTACAGACTGTAACCTTTTATCAAATTGAAAGTATAATATATATTTGCTTATAAAACAATGTATCTTGTGTATGGTACGCAATTTTTAAAAAAGCAATTAAACATTACAGAGTGATACTGAGAGTCGATTGTGTTCATGTGTTCATTTTGTTAAACGTATGGAGCTGACTTGCAGGGAACGTAACCTTGATGTTACCTGCAGTAAGTGTCAACCAAAATAAAATGAAAATACACTGACACAAAATACAATAAATAAAACACATTCTGACATTATTTTGTTATAAAATTTTCTGCATTAAATATTTTCTGAACTAAAGAGAGAGGAGTTCCACTGTATTGATTACACTTATCACAAAGGGTTAGTCTGACACTATTACAGTCATCCTTATTCCCCACATCTCAAAAACTTTACTTACTTAAAAACAAAATCTTATGATATGTATATATTGGCCTCTTTATTAAGTAATCTAATACAATCCAAGACAACAGCTCCGCTTTAACATCTATCTTTAGCTTGTAATGTTCAGTTTTTGCTGACATGGTTGGAAATGTTCAATCATGGTTAAAGGTGATGTACAGGACTGCACTACAACTACTTATATTCACAGGTGTTTCTAACTTTTTGACCTTTCAATTTACAAACATGAGGGAGACAAAATATATTAGAAACACCTATGAATATATTGCAGCCCAGTACAAAAGCATAAAATATACAAATACAAATATACAATTATTCAAATCACACAAAAAAATCACACAGAAAAATAAAGTACTTTCAAAATATAAATAGATAAAGATAAGAAAGATAAGAAGAGAAAACTGTGCAGAAGACGGGGGTGCATTAATGTGATGCATAATGTAATGCTTCAATGATATTCAATTTCACTGATACACTGTTACAGACAAAACATACACAGGCTGTAGCAGAAACAAGCACAAGCTAGTCTACAGTTGTGCAGTGGAAAATGATCAGAAATGTTAATAAAAGGAGAGTAATTGTTATTTATCTCATTGGCGTTTCCACGTTATGTTGACTTTAATTAAGATTAAAAAGCTTCTTTAAAGATACAAAATAATAAAGAACCTAGGGTAAAAGAGATGAAAGGAGTTCATTGTGGATACATGAAGTGCAGTTCTTGTTTAGTGCCTCTTTTGCGCTTCAGTTCAATCAGCTGCTGTGTTTATTTGACATAAACCAGTTATTAAACCTGACCACCTAATCAACGACCTTTACGCTGGCGACGACAGGTGGAAGCCATTACCTTTAGTGAACACACTGTGGACAGGAGGAAGAACCGCAGCACCTGATGTGGCTCCGGTTGCCGCGCGCCGTCAGCAGGTGGCGCGCGGACACAGAACGCAGGCGCAGTGTGTTTTCGGATAAATGGCTCAATTATCACCGCGGCACCCTCCTGTCCTGCCTCCTCCTCTCCTGCCTCCTCCTCTCCTGCCTCCTCCTCTCCTGCCGCCTCCTCTCCTGCCTCCTCTCTGCTGGGACACGCCCCGGATTATTGCCTGTGTCAAAGCTTTTATTTTGGTAACAGCACATGGCACCGCGAGCTCATCCCAGTGATACCAGTGCGCGCGCAGCCACAGGTGGTGTTCATGCGTGCCACCTTGACATCTGAAACAGCGGAAGACAAACAGAGACAAGGGACTACCGGCTCTTCATCACCGCCTCAGTGCTCCTGCGTTGACGGAGTGAAGCTGCTCTCTGCTTTATTTTGTTCGCGTTTTGGGGGCCAGTTGTTTCAGGCTGAGGGGACCTGCTGTCTGCTGGGTGTGTGTTCAGAGTTCAGTCGAGGAGCGCACGGAGATTTAGCAGGTGGAGAAGGCACCTTAAATCACGTTGCACTCACCTTGGTAAGTAAACATGGCGTTATTAATAGTGTCTCAGTGTTTGTACAGACTCAAGAAACTGGGTTTGATTTCCTTGATGCGGATCCAACTCCTGTGGGTTAAATGATTTTTGTTGTTGGGGTGAGAGCAGTCCTTTTTTTTTTATGCACTTTTTTTTTTTTTAGTTTTGTTTAAAAATGTGTTATGATTTTATTTTTATAGCTGTAAGTGTGCTTGATTATAGGTTTACTAAACCTGAAAGACTCGTAACTGTTCATAAAAAAAAAAAAAAATAGTGTGAGAACCTCTGAGGATGCAGTGAAGCCTTGTTAAATTATGATTGATGCCAAGTATGTGCGCAGCTGAAATGCGCAGTACCCACATATGAGCTGTTTTTGGCTAGTGGTGCATGATGGAAGTGGAAATTGCAAGTCAGTCTAACTGACTAGAATAAGTTTAGGCCACACAGAGTTAGCAGCACCTACTGTGGGCCTTCCACTTGGCAATGTATCCGTATCCAGGAGAGCAGGGAGTTTTTGTATACATGGAGCAGCCGGTGTGATTTGTGGAGGGGAAGGACCAGGTGCAACCTCAGGAAACTTTAAATCAGCATTTCTGTCACATTAGTTCAACTGTTGAAGCTGTTATCGTCTCTCGCTTCTTAAAGTGGCCTGTTGAGGGTGATGACTCTGAATTAGCAGATCCACTGTGGTTCGAGTTCGAGCCAGCTCTCCAGCACTTCTCTCCTCTTAAAAGGTGTCTAGACATGGCCGTTCCTCCCGTTTAGAGATAGATAGATCAGCGTTTTGAGCTCAGCAGGTGGGAAAGTACTTTAAGGTGTTTATCAGCGTTCAAAATCCAGAACAGTCCCTGTGAAACCTCATATTCCTGGACCCCCACCGCCTGCTGTTTGTATACCTTCCCCATTGTGATTGTGCCTTTCATGTGCGTGCTCTACCGTACCCTCCTCACTTTATATTGTGTTTGTTTCCTGATGGCTTTGCTTTTTTTTCATAGAGAACACTATGCTGTTTCTCAGATAGGACAGGGCTAAAGCCACGAGGAACCAAAAACAGACCACTGTAATTTTGGATGGAGCAAAGCGGTGGCTTTTCAAGAAAACAGGAAAAAAAAAAGGCCAACTCGTTACCTTCTAATTCAGGGAAAGAATTTTTTGTTTGTTTTACAATTGCGTTGAGGTTTTAACTGAAACAAAAGAACATTTTAGTCCTCTATTTTTGCTAAATACTACTGTGTTGTGTTTTTTATTTAGTCCAGCTTCTCTCTGTGATGCACGTGTGTATGCAGGAAGTCGGCGTCCGTTATATCTGAACGATATCTGAAGTGTTTTTTTGGCTCCTGTCTCTCAAGTGTGGTTTTCAGTTTGAGCTGAGACAGAGGCGGGATGGTTCTGACTTTTCTTTCTCACAAAAGTTTGTGTGGCAGAGGATGTCTCCAACTTTACCAAAGTCTCACCAAACATCAAACACGCATTCTGAAGGGTGCACCGTTGCAGCAGTGTTTTTCAACAGCGTGTAATGAACCGAGTGGTGGTTGGTGTGTCTTTTTTGTGAAGAGGGGCCTAATGGTGCATGCAGAGGATGTGGTGAAGCGGCCTGATTGCTGAGCAGCAGAGTGCGGAGTCTGTTCAGTGTGAAGAGCAGTAACATGATCTCCAGATGATGATGCTGATGCAGAGGGAGATAAGTGGAGCCAGTACCACAGTGTCCTTGTCTTTTTACAAACCATGCTTCGCAGTGGACACAATCCAGTCCACTGTAGCAGGGCTGCAGCGCGGTGGCGAAGGGACGATGGGTAATCTTAGTAATTGTCTTTTTGTGCCTCAGTAGATAATGAGATGATTATCATTTTTAAGATTGCGTCACAGCATGAGACCATACAGGAGCGGGCACCCTTAAAGGTTGTTACAATGAAAAGGGAGTAACCCACAAAAATGACAGGTATGGCTTCGTCTGTAATTATTCTGATGACACATTTGTGATTAGCAATATATATATATACCGATACAGAAAGTCATCAACCAACACCCTTTTTGACATTGTTATTGTTTGATATTTTCTCATCTCCTTAGCGACTGCAGCTATATCTGACCAAGTGGGTGTGATTTGGAGCATGCCTAGAATGTTATTACACTCTCGGTCCAGGGAGAGGCTTGCAATTGCATTCTTCTCCTTTTTTTAATTCAGTTGGGTGTGTGTGTCCAGGTAGGTGACGACCAGTCAGGGGACTGCATGACACACAGGGTAGAGTAAACACTAGACTGCATCATTGACGAGGGCTGTGGAAAGTTCACACTGGTGTATGGCCACCAGCGAGAGTCTTGACGAGTGTGATTCATGCCAGGAATATTCCCCCCGCAGCCACAGTGGTTCATCTGAGAGAGAGAGAGAGAGAGAGCGCGCGCCTTCGCATCAAAGCTCAGCCAGAGTTTTCATTTGAATGTGTTGCGTCTGCTATGTTCATCAGCCATTCTTTCAGTGCTCGCCTGTTGGAGAGCCAGTGCTTGTTCATTTCAATGCAGTGGATTTTGGCCCAGAGTTTGAGGAGAAGAAAAACAGTCTCAGCTAAAAACTAGTGATTCAGGAAAGAGGTGAAGAGTTGATGTAGGTGCAAGTTTGGCTGCCAGACATTTTATTATACAGAGGTTTAGTCAGCTATCTGCTTAGTTAATCTAAGTCAGTTGTCATGTATATTTGATTTGCACTGCTGTACAGATGGTAACAACTTGCTTTTCCAGTTGTCTTGTTCCTCGGAATAAATGAGGTGTTAATTCTTTGGATTAGCTTTGTTAAACATAATGATGGTGATGGTTTCCTGCCATGCACATATTTATTGGTTGGCCACTTCACTCTGCATGTTTAGCGGGCCATGTATTCTCCCATTTAATGCATTTATTCAGTTTTCAATATTAAATACAAATGGAACTACTGGTTGCCATAGCTGTGTTGTGGTGACATGCTGATCATCACAGGATGAGTCATCATAATTTCTTCCACACTCCAGTAAATTACACACACAGTTTCAGACTTGTTTTCGCAGGTTTCACTCATTCAGCCAAAACTACCCATAACTTCATGTTACGGTAAACATGCTAAGTTGAAGATTGCACCATCAGTTAGGTGTTGTTGAGCCTCAGCCTAAATGACACTTCAGCTCACTGCCGCTGACCACCAGGGAGTTATACTAGTGTTCGTAGTGCGTGTCTTTTTTTAAGACAAATAAAAATACCTGCAGTACTGTTTACAGTTGCATGCAGCATGCATATTTATGGGTGCCAGAAAGAGTTCAAGTTTTGCTATACATAAAGTATCTTAAACTGAGTATAGCCGTCAAAGTAGTTCATCTTTATTCAATATGGAAAAGAGTAGCAATAAATATCAATAATATTATAATATTTGTTTTAGCTTCAGCAATATTCTGAGGACAAAATATACTTCTCTGATTTTGACACAATGGTATCCTTTTTAATGAGTCCTTTAATTTTCACCATGGGAACAACCTGTGTTATTAAAAACCTTTTCCAAATGAAACCCTGGAGGCTCTCTGCATGTTAGAGCAATGAGTCCTGAATTTAGTCCTCTTATTCCCCTTCATACCTCCACTATCTCTTTTGCCTGTAGGGACAATCCCTCATAGATGTGACAAGTACCAAAAGGCCTTTAACATATATTAGTATGACAGGCTTAAACTTCCCCCAGAGAGTGGAAAATATCCCTATGGAAACTAAAGCACAGTCTGAGCCAAGTGATGCCCGAGCTCATGATTGTGTCTACCTTTTGAACACCTCATTAATTGTGTCATATGCAGAGCAATCCTGAAAAACCTGAAAAATCATTTTCAAGCTGCTGAACGTTTATATTTTGAGCCATTTTAATTTTGATTCATAAGTTAGTCGATCATGTGCTAGTTAAGCTCTTCATTGAGAAATATAGTGATAAAATACTTTTTTTTTTAACGTTCTATTAAATGCTGCAAGGACAATCACATGGTATTACCTTACTAATAAAATGCGGAACAGAATCTTAAGGCGGCAATTAATGATTATTTCATTATTAATTGTTTGGTCTATAGAATTAATAAATATAAATAGTCAAAAGCTCAGATCACAATTTCCTAGTTGACGATATTTACTTTACTTTACTTACTGGCTGACCAACAGTCCAAAACCTAAATATATTTTATTTTCACATAAGTCAAAGAAAATCAGTAAATCTTTAGCATTTTTGCTTGAAAAAACAAAAAATAAACACCTGGAAGGTCCAGTGTGTAATATTTATGATGATCGATTGGTACACACGGACATTTTCATAGTTATGTTTTCATAATCAACTGAAAATCAGCATTGTGTGTTTTTGTGTTAAGAGCGGGTCCTCTTCTGTGAAGGCCGCCATGTTCTACCGCCATGTTTCTACAGTAGCCCAGAACGGACAAACCAAACACTGCGTCTAGATAGGGCTGTAGAGTTTCATGGCCACTGGAATTTCTTCTACACACTTGGAAGACATATATTTGCAATTTGCAACTTCGCTGCTGGATGCCACTAAATCCTTAATACTGGTCCTTTAAGTATTTCCAGACATTTCGTTATCCTGGGCCGCCACAAGAAATGCACACTAGACCACAGTCCCCCAGTTTGAGGGGATTTTGTCTTAAAGAAAACAACCCTGAGTAATTTTTCTATTTTTAGGTTTCAAGACTATAAAGCCATCAACAATCAAACTGGGATCACTATAAATTACAACCAATAAAAACGACCAAGCCTATTTCTTCCCTTGGTGGGAATATTATTTTTCTCCTCTTGCTGGGGACAACCCACTCAATGACCCCAGTTTAAAACCCACTGTATTAGACTACATTAATTTCAACTTGGTGTACCTTTTTTATAAATCTGCAACTGACTGTGTGAGTCAACGGATAAACCTGTCTAGGAAATCTGGAATTCTGCCTCTTGTAGTCTGTCAAACCTTGACACCTTGCTGTTTGTCAGTACGTAGGAATGCATGCAAGTCATAAACTTATCCATTGTGTTTAGTCGGAAGTGAGCGTATTTCACTACACCTACCGGTTCCCATTCTCCTCCTGCTGACCTCCTGCTGTGCAGCTGTTGCTGAACTGCGATCCATAGAAATGACTTCATGACTAGAATTCTTCTCATTGTGTTGGGTGTGTCGAACTATAATGCCAAATTGGCGCGGCAGCAAAAGCGTCGAGATGGCACCAGAACAGAATTCACCCCTTTATGTGTATTGGCGGATGCCCAACAGTAGTGTTTTGTTATGGTGAGGTTTCATCAAACTGTGTTCAGCACTTTGTTTTATGTGAGCAGCAGTGCAGTCTTAAAACCTCATCAGTGGCCAATTAAGCACAGCCCATGAGTGTGCCACTTATCCTCCCCACCACTATGTGTTGTTTTTCTTCTCCGCTGTTTGTCCGCTCCGCCTGCATTCCTCCACCATCCTTTCACTTTGACATTATCCACCGCTAGCGTTTTTTTTTTTTTACGACACGAACAGTGAACGTTTACGCGGAGAATTAGCAGGGTGCTCGGTCGATAATGGGCGCTCTATAGGAGAAGCTGCAGAAGCTCATGGAACTAATTGACACCCCCAAAGGCTGGGAAACTTTCAGACGGCTGCTCCCCGTCATTATCACAACTGCACTTATTTCTGGAGGCCTCAGCCACAATTAAGAGACCCTAATGATGGTGAGCCCAGTAACCCTGCTAATTGGCCCAGACTGTTAATAAGTAACTGGGTCTGCACTGCGTGTCCCAAACACTTGTGGAATGTGCGGCCGATGAAATGGGCCAGTGTTTGGAGGGATTTGGGGGAGTAGCGTGGCTGATGTCCTAGATCCACTTCACTTTAATTCCAGTTTTTCTTGCTTACTCTTCATGCTTTACGAAACATTCTGTATTGTGTCATCTTTGTAATCATTGACAGGATTTTATTACTTTATTTATGGACATTGAGTAAGATTATAATTTACATTCCACTGCTGGCCACAGTATATATTTCTGTCTACACTGTCTGATATACAGTACTTTGGATCAACCTGAACCATAAAGTGTGATAGTAAACTTCAGATATTAATCTATGAGTAACGGGTAACATGGTTCAAAAACCATGGCAAGGCTGCAATTACTTGAAGACATTATCTGATCTGCTAAATGTTCTTACGTGTCTGTGTGACTTTGCTTTGCTCTCAACTAAATCATGCATGAGGAAATTTCAATGATTATGATGAAAATAATAAATCTAATACCAAAAAGTCCAAAGTAAAGTGAAGTCTGTCTTGATAATCTGGAAAAGGAATCCAGCATGTTCTGTAGAAAGGAACAACTGCTTCTGTTGGTGCATGTTCTGCATTTTCTTTCCAAGGCTGAAGCAAGACCAAGTTTTGTTTGAGTTGTGAGTTAAGCAACAGATGATGTAAAATCGTTCGGGTGTAGACATTTCATTTTTCGAGAGAAGCAGTCTATACTTAAAATAGCTTATGTCATTGTCTACATGTGGACCTATATATTACTTGTTACACAAATGTCTTCACTTAAAATAAATGCCCATTTTCTCAGTGAGACGAGTTTCAGTCACAGATACAGCAGCTGTGTGTTTGCGTGTGTTTGCCTGCATTGTGCAGGTGTTGATGTGTTTATGAACCTCTAAGTGTTCATCCCATCATCACTGTACGCTGCAGAGCTCTGCGTCTCCACATGCAGTCACACAATGAACGAGCTTTGTCTACAACTATGAGCAGAATCTGAGTAAGCTGGCAGTTGAATCACAAGTTCATCTTCAAGTTGAGAAGAATATGATCATAACTATTAACGCTTTGAAGTGTATTCTGTTCTGATTTTGAAGATGTGTGTGTGTGTAAATACTAATTTAAGTTTATCTGTTATCTATCGTGTCATGTTTTGTAACCCAACCTTTAGCACCTTGCTGATAAAGCATATCATCCTTTCTATGCAGTGTCAACATTGGTTACACTGATAACTTAAAGAGAATTTGACAGAGAATTTGAGTGACTTGTTGGTTGTCATAAAGCAGCTCGAGCCAATCGACATGAAGCTGAATAGCCAACAATCCACGCCAGGTCAACAGAGAGAATGTTGCGTTTAGCATGGATGGATGGATCCTCGTTTTTGTCTACAAGGATGATCTCATGCAGAAAGTTTTGGACCGCTGGAGAACATCAGCATGCCAGAGACAGTAGCGCACGCTACACTGTCATCACCAATTATAATTTTGCAACGTGTAATATTTTGAAAGCTCAGTTGTCACCAGTAATTAAAGATCTACATCTGGGGGATCTGTTACTTGTCTATCCTGTCATGTAGCTGTGTAAAGGCTTACATATAACATGATAGTGAGTGCTAACTGTCAACCCCAAAATATTATTTAAGTGAAGATTTGTCCCATTTGGGAAAAAGTGGATGATGTTACAATATGATTGGTTCTTCTTAATATTGCTTTAATGCGGTTCCAGAAAAAATAGAATAGAACCATCAAAACTCATCACATGCTTTCACTATACATTGACATCTCTAATGATTTGATTTTAAACACTATATTTACAGTTTTAGATTCACAAATTCTCAACAGACTTTGAGGGGGAAAAAAATCGGTACATTTTCGTGCAAACCCTAACCATACAAATATAGAATATCCACTGACGATGTATTTACCAAATAGCTGAACTGTTAGACACGTTTATTTATACAGCCCATTCTTTTAAACATGTCTTAGAGGGCTACCATACTACATGTCATATTTCATACAGCAGCACTGTATACTGTAGACCTATACATTAAACACAATGGTCACATTGAAACACAGCGAAATGTTTAGCTCCTTGTACACTCTGCTTGCACGACTTTTTGTTTGCATTTGTTTTACTTGTCTTGAAAGAGCATTCGGGTTTAATGAAACTCTTTGGCTTTGCAGGCACTTTAGCAATGTTAGTCATGTGTCTTTGGTTTAAGATTCTTCCCATTCCTGTTTGATGTGGTTATACAATCCATGTCAAAGGGACTTCTGCCAGTGGAAGTGAGGTGTTGCTGGAGATGAAAGGCCCCTTATGCAAATGTTCACTGTCTTCACCTGTTGATCAAATATTAAGCCCGGCCAGCAGAAACACATGTCTCTGAACACAATCAGCTATGCATATGTTTATGTCCTGTTTTTCTTTTTTCAGGGTTTTGACAAGAGTGTGTGCTGACCTGATCACTCAATGGCGCTGACTGTCAACCTTATCGGCCCTTCACCATGGGGCTTCAGAATATTTGGAGGAAGGGACTTCAAGAAGGCCATCACTGTATCAAAGGTACTTTGTAACAGCCGCCATGTTGATAAACCCCATCACACCTTATCAAACCATATCCTCTGTTTTTGTAAAAGCTCAGCCTGTAATGGCATGTTATGCAAACTTCCTCCTCACTACGTCTCTTTTCTTGTCTTTGTTTGTGTTCGCGGGCTGCTTCGTACCTATTTCCTTGACTACACAAGCCGTTAGAATAGAATGGAAGTAGATTACGTTAGAAGGAAACCACTGATTACAGTTACAGTGGAAGTTGAGGTGGGAGGTGAGGGGTTCCTGATCCCATAGTGAAGTGTGGGTTTATGTTTCTCTGCTAACGTGCATGCTTTACCACGGGCACCAGTAAATTTGTTTTGATGCACGTGACTGTTGTTTTTACTGACCACATTTTCCCAGTCACTGCTAAAAAAAAGGAAAGGAGGAATAGAAAAAGCGGAAATATTACCACTGTAAGCAGACAGTGCCCAGTAAACACCACCAGGAAACTCAGACTAACGTCTGCATGCCAGAGACACCCAGTTCTGCCCACTGCACATCCTGGTCCTACATCACCACCTCAGCCTGGATTCTTTCCAGTGAGACTTCCCCAGTAGTCTCCTACTCCTCAGACCATAAAGGATAAATTATGGCAAAACCATGGCAGGGTACCAGACTTCAAAAGCATTTATTATTTGCCCCCTCTCGACAACTTATGCTAGAAAAACAGGTCTTCTCATGAATAATGGGCTTAAGTCTGATTTTGTTACTGCTATCCAATAAACAACAGCATGTTTGCTTGTCTCAAATATCAAACGGGTTCTCTCAAGTGACAGGAATTCCTGCAGAGGGAAAAACTTCATCACTGACATTGGTGTGCATAGCCCGGTTCTCTCGCCCCCCCCAGCAGTTAGCAGCCGTAGGGTTGCACCATCTGAAGTGGTTGGCACTTGGCACAGAGATGACATGGATGCCCTCTTTTATTCCTGTTGGCCTGAAAGATAGCTTAGCCCTGATTCAGTCGGGCACAGGCCCTGGAAAAGAACCCCCAGCTGCTCTTAGTTTATGTGAAACCAGGCGTGTCCTGATCAGAAAAGGCACGCACTGTTGTGGGTCACCACAGCAACGCTTGATTACCTCTCGAGTGGGCCCACAGACATGGCACCTCTGCCCTCTTGCTTGGCTAAACTGACAAACGGCCTGTTGACTGGCATTCTTCTATTGCATCCATTTTCCTTCAGAGATTTAAGAATGAGACTTTCATCCACTCTGATTGGCTCTTTATTTATTTTGTTTGGCATTTCTGGTTTTATTGCCTCTCTCTGTTTTTAATTGTGAGGCAAGCACTGTTTGTGGCAAATGTCATACTTCTCTCTAAAGTTTAAGCGGTTGCAGCATCAACCTCCACATTTTGCCTTTTTGCCTGTGTGTTTGGGTGTGTATGCCTGGAACACAGGAACCAAGCTGAAAGTGGTGGCTAAGACTTTATGTTTTGGCCCATTAGTGTGGAATTCCCCCTGATGTGGTGCTATAGCATTGGCTTTGACATGCGGTGAGGCTGGTTGCAAAGGTCAGGCCCAGTCAAACCATCAAGTAGTGTCACACTAATGACTTCTTCCCGAGGGTGTCATGAATCTGTCCGCTGTTGACCAGCACTGCCTTATTCCATGTGTGTGAAACTCTGCATCTGTTGGTATTTACCCTGTTATGAGTTGTAGAGAGAGACAGTTGGATGAAGAGTGTAGCAAACGTGTGAAGCAACTCCTCAACACCTTTTCACATTATCTCATTTGTTGATGCTGAATCTCAGCCACTGACATGTTGTCCACACTGCCATAAGATACAGAGCTGTCTATGCTTGCCAGATGCATCCATAAAGTATCATGTTCAGAGCAGGACCTGGGGCCAGTCCGACATAACTGGAGCTCATTCTTCAATCCAACAGGTCAACGGGGGCAGCAAGGCAGAGCAAGCAGCACTGCAACCGGGTGACATAATTTTGGAGATCAACGGTGAAAACACGGGCGACATGCTGAATGTGGAGGCCCAAAACAAGATCAAGAACTCCAAGACCCAGCTGCAGCTAGTGGTGGAGAGGTACGCTGGCACGCAATATTCCTGTAACTTGTATTTTAATGTTGTACATATGTATATGTTGGATTTATAAACAGAAAATACATGCAATACAGTCCTCTGCAGCTTTCTGCAGCATAGTTCCCCATATGAATATCTTAAATGTCACTAATGTTCTGTGTTTGGGCCAAGACCACAATTGCCCCAGCTTCCATCCTTCTTTACACTGTTTTTAACTTTATCATTCAAACACTGTGCAAACAAAACAAGTGATTGTTATCAGGGGAAATGCCAGCATGTATGAGAAACTACACAGTTCCTTTCCCTGATTCTTTTTAATAAACCCTGTTTTGAAATTTGACAAGACCTTGTTTGAATGACAGGGAGTTGGCTACTAAAAAGGTTTTCCTTTGAGCCAGGACTGCTCTTGGCTGGTATTTCTAATTTCTTGCCACTGTTGCCCCTCGTTCCTCTTTCTTAGACTCTCATTTTGCACACAGACACAATCTCACACTCTCGTGCACATGCGCTTTCACATACTTCCTCCTTGGATGTCCTATGTCCATGTGAGTGAATTTTTCCCTGCTGACCTAATGTCTCCCTCCAAGCCAGAAACAACACCATTACTCCTTGCTTGCCCAGGACAATGCCACTATGTAGTTCTGCCATGTCTTTAATCCCACTCTGCTAACTGTCAGTCGGTTTCAGCATCAAGTACCTCACTTGCTCCTGTCCTCATCAAGCATATCACCTACATCAGACAAGCTCTCAAGGAGTTTGTAATTGAGTAGCATAAAACTGTAGTGTTAAATTTGTCTTTGCTCAGTTGAGAGTGCTCCCTTTTTCCAGCTCAACATCTGGCTAGCAGTTTACTCTCATCAAACCAGCAGTGATGTGGGTACTGGCTGTCATCACACCGAAGGTGGTGCCTACTGGAAGAAGCTGGAATCGGCTCATCTGAACAGAAGAAAATAATGTTTTCTTTTGGGCGTATCTACTGTATACAGAGGCAGTGATTAATTGTTGACTTTACTAACTGGGGTTATTTTTACTTGACAAAGCAACCACACCATCACAGTTTTGTCAGTGACCCTTAAAGCTTTTTAGTCGGCTAAAGCATTATCATTCTCTCTGTCTAATGGAGTTAGTCATCAGAACAACTCATAGGTATAACTTTACCACACAGCTAAACTGTAAAATAGAGTTTCCTCTGTGATACTGAGATGCTGTTATACTTTAAAAGTGCTGTTGCTACAATGACAAATACCTTATGAACCCGCTTGCAGGGCTCAGCAATAAGGATCGCTCGCTTGCCTGTGGCAAGTAAAATGCCATGTTGGACTAATAAATCTAGCAACTTGTGCTAGAGCTGATGATGGAAGAAGCTGAGGAGTGTTCCATCTCACTTCCTTCACATCTCTGTTGAGAGTTGCACATGGGCACAGTACCCGTCAGGCACTCACAAGAAAGTAACAGTGATAAAGACAAGGTTTATGAGCTGAAGCAAAAGCAAGCATTTCAATTCTCTTGGAAACAGGAGTTAAGTCGGGTGGTAGAGGATGTGGGTGAAACTTCAACAATGTATTGCACAGTTTGCAGCAAGTTTGAGAGCAAGGCGGATAAAATAGGGTTGTTTTTCAAAGAACGTAACTGGAGGGCCATAACAAGAGCTGAAAGAACCAGCTAAGAGGGTCTTGGCTGTTATTTGATTTGTATAACTGTTTGTAGAGGGGCAAGTAACAATTGACTTTGGGCAAGTATAGTTTCTGAGCCTCTTGCCCAACCAGGCAAGTGAAAAAAATAAATGAATCCTGGCTTGATCTTTGAAGCAGCAGGACTTGGTATCAAACCTCAATAGGAGGTTTTTTTTTATATATATATTGCCCAAAATCACAAATAACAACAACAACAAATGATCAAAATGTGTAGTAGCATAGAGTACTGAGGTACCCACAGTTGTAATTGAATTTCTGGTCTAGTTTTGTCAATTTCTTTTCTTGTGTGTCTGCTTGTGTTTGGACAGCACTGAACATTTGAGACTTTGCTTATTTTGACAAATGTAAAACGGGAACTTTGAAAAATGTGATCCTCTTTCTAAAAGTAAAGTATGGAAAAAAGGTATCACTTCATTCACTTCGCTATCATTACTGAAACTCTTGTTATCACACAACCGCTAGTATCAAATGATACCAAGTTCTAAGCAAGCAAGTGGTGTCTTGCCTCATCCTAAATACTGGTCGCAGCTTGACACAGAGTATGTACCTCCTCTTGTAATGGTCAATGTTGCGTTCTTTTTAATATTAAAGTTCTCAGAATGGAGAGGTATTCTTTCAGTGCAAACATTTGAAGAATCTGCCTCAGGCAGGTTAACTCCAGGTCCTCTCGATGACAGCTGTAAACAGCTAGTATCAGCAAAGCGTTTCAAGTGCTGATTAATACCAGTTTCACATCCCTGTAGTATAAAGTCACAGATAGCATTTTTACTAAAAGCAAATTCTTCTTCTGTAAAGGAGACGGTTAACCAGAAGTCATCGATTACACCCTACATACTGATTTGGCCACTGACCTAAAATACGTCTCATTGCCTTTAAGACCACGACTTCTGATGTACATGGTAGAACGTTTATATCTGAAGGTGAGCACGTTCCTAATTCAAAGCAATGCATTTTTCAGGTCTGCCACATTAATATCTCTCCTACGGGAACAAATGTCTTACCACTGCTGTATCAGTTTTCGTCTTCTTGCCATCTCTCTCATACGCAAGTATGTGGATCCCAAGCCACGAGAGGTGTGTTTCTGGATGATTTACCACAGGCATCCAGGCCTTCCTGTGTGCCTCATTACCCCGGGCTCAACCAAAAGCCAGTCAGCCTCTGGCCCTGCAGCCAAGGGGGCACTCTGTGTTTGCATTGGCGCTTATACGGCCCATATTTTTCCCTCCAAGTTCAATGATGGAATTGCTTACAGAATGTGTTTTCTATTTAAGAAAGTAAAACAAAAGTGACTTGTTGGAAAGACGAGATCCATTGGGAGAATATTTTCAAAAAGGGGACAGAGTCCGCAGTACTCGTCTTTTGCAGTAATCTCTAAGATTCATGGGAACATACCAATGGATGTTCGCCAGGACATTAGCAAAAGGGCCGTCCAAAAATGAAGTTCAGTCAGACTTATGACCCTTAAAAAATTTATTATTTTTTCTTCACTCAGCATTTTCCTTGCACGTTCTTAAACATATTGCATAGGGTTAGGGTTCCCAGTTTAAATACCTTACTGATTTATTTAACATGAACTTTCTTACTGCCTTGGTTTTTTTTTTTTTAATTCAGCAGTGATAGGATCAGACTTCACCCTATATGTTACATAGATGGAGAATGAAACTTTGGGTTGTCAGACATCATCAGTGTTGGCAGGCAATTGATCTCTGTGGTTTCCTGTGTTCAAGACCTGAACCTCCCAGCCCTGGACAGACCAACGGCATCAGCACCCCTGAGCAGCTCACCGGACGCTTCCAGGTCAGTGCTGCAGCTCCACAGGAGCTTCAATCTGTCTACAGTTTGTATTGATTACTGGACGAAAATATGTTTTTGATTCAAGACATTGCTCACGAGTGCCTGTTTTATTTGTGTATGCTGCTTCATTTCTACTAATACATGCGTCACACATCTGTTTATTACATATCTGCTCATTTCACTGCTTCGAGATGGAAGCAATACAAGATATTGTAGTGATTTAGTACTTGTTCCTGTGTTTTACTGAGATCCCAAACCACCACCTACAACACATGATGATAATGAATACAAAATCTGTAGACCTGTTTGACGACACAACATTTACTTCTGTGTACATTCTTGTGCTGACATTCTCACAGGTGCCCATTCTGCTTCTCAATTAAGCCTTTCACTACTTGTATGTCAAAAATGCACTCATAAAGATCAAGTTACCCTCAACAGATACTAATGCAATAACTTTTTTTGTAGGAGGCAGTAATAGTGAGTCGAGATGAGAATCAGAACTACAGAGAGTACACCATCTCCAGCCCTGCGTCGCTGTCCCCTGGACCTTATTCACCAGATCTTCCTGCCAGCCCTGATGGGAAGAGAGAGATGCTGACACCGACCACCAACAAGGGGTAGCTCACTTGACCTGTATTCAAATTTTCATGCATGCAAATCTGATTGAAATCAGTCACCCTAATTGGCTGCAATGTATTCCATGAAAATATGAATGCATTAGTGGAACTTAAATTAGCTTGTTTGCAGCATTTGGAGTTGTTAGACAGATACTGAACCCTCTGCCAGCTTGTCTCCTCCTTTGTTGTTAATGTGCTAACAAATGTTGTAACGAAAGCAAAGGATTATAATGTCTGAAGTCACACACATAAGCTCTTGTTACTTGTAAATTACAGTTTGGACAATCAGCCTGAAAGATAAGATTAAAAAGAAATTCTTTCAGCATGAGCTGGTCTAAGAGAAAGTCTTGGGACATTTTAGAGCTCGACATTTCAGATGGACAGCCTTTTTCAGAAACCCATCCATTCACTGCTTAAATAGGCTTATATCTGGACAAAAGGTTGCAACAAGTGCTCTCTTGACTCCACAAACGGCCCAGAGTCAATAGGTACGGGAACAACAGACAGAAAGTGGAGCCATGGGATTGTACTGTAGTAACAAAGGATATGCACAGGATATCACATTCCACCGTTTGCATTCACTTTAACAAAGGGCAGAATGTGGAACGTTCACCGCGCTTTCTCTGAGCATTTGTTGACTCTCCTGGACAACCTTTTTAATAGGTCACAGTTTAAACTAAAATGTTCTCCCTCGTCTGGACCGATTAAGCTTTCTGCCTTGCACATATTTGATTTCCATCTCTAATTATAATTCCTAGTGTCATCATATTTATAGATTTTTCCAACTTAATCATAATAAATCTATGTTTTAGTATATAATATTCTTCTTCTTAGTAGATACTGTTCAATTTGAATACACATGTAATTTTAGGATTTCCATTTAAACGACATTGGTTTTTCAAAATAAAGTTTATTGTTGCATCAATTTTTAATTGTCGTCATGGGAAACCTGCAGGACTAGAATATATATATATATATGATAAGGGTAATTGAAATAACCCAAGGAATATAATGTGAAAATACCTGGATGATTTATAGGTATATAAGCAGATTAACACCACACACATACATTTACATACATATATACATATGTATATATATATATATACACACATATACGTATGTATGTATGTATGTTTCGAATTTGATTTGGAAAATCAATTAATAGATTAAATAACAGGACATGAATGTCCAGCAAATACCTGATTGATGCAAAAGTCATACAAATATTGCAAAATGATCCACAATAGCCTAATATTTCCAGAGATATTGATGGAATAACTGCTATACCACATAAACAATTTAATAAAACATTTCAGAGGTTTGACACGTGTCCGTTGTTCCAACCCCAAAATCATATTTATCATTGACTCTGTTGCCTTTGTTACAGTATCCAGCTGCGCTCATGGTCCCCAGAGGAGAAGAGTCACAGGCTGTCCAGACCACTGTCACAGGTTGGTTTCTGTCTTTTCTTTAAACAACTCTATTCATTCTTCCAGCTTTCATCGTCAACCATTTGTTAAGTTAATAACTGTCCACCCTGCAAAAGAAAAGCAGCTGAGTTCCAGCCATAACATGTCTTTTAATTAGATGGAGACAGTTGGTTTTCAGTAAGCATGAAATTATGGTTTTCTCCAACCAGAAACTAGAAAAATGAGTTTATTGGGTTCCTGTACTTTCTCTGCTAAGTTTGCCACTTAATACTTTAGATCAGGGTTTTCAGGGTTATGGGTAGTACAATATACTGGACAAATACATGCTAATGTTTAAATAAATGTTATGTGTCATCACAAAGTTATTTATCTGTTGCTGAAGTTCACTTGGTCAGTACAGCTGGAGGTTTTTGTCGTCTTGGCTGTGTGATGTATTTATTTTGACTACACTTTCCCAGTCTGAAAGAAAAACATATTTGAATTCCTAGCCTTTCCTCTTGAATTGTTACTCTGATGCCACAGAAGATGCCCTACAAAAGGTTTGTGGACTCCAGTGTACTGTATGTAAAGGCAGGATACAGAGAGGCTTTGACATTTTATAGCAGGGAGTGTATAAACTTCAAAGGTCAGTCTTTCAAAATATCTGACATTAAGCTGTACAAGAGTCTGGAGCTGTTTCATTCAGAGCCTGCGCCACAGACAAAAATGATTACTTTCCGTCATAACAATGGCCTTAACCTTTAGTTGTCTGAATGGAGACTCATTAGTCTCAGTAAGCAGTAAAATATGGGAAGTGGTAAAATACAGACTTGGGGTTATCATGCAGACTGCAGCTAAACTATGCTGTGCGAATTTACCATTCCAGCAACAAAACCAAGACGGGGGACTCAGGCGTCTGGAAAGACTTCAGTGAGTTAAAGACAGAAAATGTTGTGGGAAAGTTCATCATGAGCTATTTCAGCTATGCCTACATGCTTAGTCTCAAGCATGGGTCCCACTGAAGATAGAACATGTGAGATGACGGAACAGGAAAAAACATACAAGACCTTTTGTAATGGCCATTTTTATAACTCTGGACCTTACATAAAGTTAGATAAATATGCAGAGGTTTGAACTTCAAAACATTCAAGCGTTCCTTCTAAGAGGCCGCTGGCTGAGAAGGTCCTTTTTTTAACATTTTCTCTAAGCGTTTGGGATTCTTTGTGTTGTTTACTTGTTAAATGGGATTCAGATGTACTGTCACTCACAGCGGTGTCCAGTCTGAAGTTTTGTCCAGTCTCAGTAGTTTTGATCTTTTTTCGCACTGGGATAAAGATGATGTAACCGGAGTCCAAAGAGCTCTTTTGAGGATCCTGTCATTACTTTTTGACCAGTCTATAGAAATAAAATGCTTCTGTTATGTCTTGGCTGCCATGAAATCTGGTCCCAGCAAAATAGAGTCTTTAGGAATGCAAGACCAGAGTCCCTCCTAATAACTAATTTGATGCGACTGCAAAACCACATGGCATGTTGTCTCCTTCTAAGTTGTTTTAGGGCAGGGAGGGTGTGCAGTTTGTCTGTGTGTGCAGACATGAATCAGCTCTCTGACTGGCTCGCTGTTCAGTTCTATTAAACTGACATGAGTGTGATATGTGATGTTTATTTGGATGCCTCAGGCAGACAGTAGACTGAACTGGAGATAATAAAGACGTCTAGTGTCAAATCCTTTACCCTTGGAGTTGAATTAGCTTTTTTTGTGCAGCGGATCATCTTGGCTGAAAAAGTTATTATAAATTACCCATTTCAAATTCCAATAGTGAGTGTTGGAACTATTAAAGTGGATTGTACACATGAAGATCCCTTTACTTGTCACAGGATTACTCCTCTGCCAGTGAAAACAGTAGTATAATATCTTCTGTGGCTCTGTCAGATGATATCGGTATCAGGGTTATTTTGTATTTGGCTTGACCCTTTAAATCAACAGGAATTGTGTGTTACAAACTTGGGGTTTGAGTCTGACAGACATGATAATTTACCAGGCAGAAACATAATAGTTCAGTTGCATCATGGGTAATGTAGGATTCAGTATTTTTGCTTCAAGGTTTACCTTTTTTTTCCAGATCTGTCTCTCACCCCCAACCCAATGAAAGTGCAATGCTAAATTGCTGGAGCATCGCTTACATGTAGCTAAAAACTGTTTTCACATCCAGTCCTTTTGGCTAAATGGTCTACTAGTTCAAGTACTCATGCCTAATTTACTGATAGTACATTTTCTCACTGAAGGCATTGTTAGGCTCTGTTAAAAACAGATGCTCATGCTGAGCATCAATCCAAAACCACATTCAAAAACCCACTGTAGAGTTATAGTGAGGCTGCGGCCAGCAAACCATGGCGGAGCAAACTTCCGTATTGGCCTACCAAAAAACACATTAGAAGCTGTGTTGTGGCCGAGGGCTCCATCAGCGAGCCCTTAGGAATGAACGTGCTGCTGTGATAGCTGTCCATCCGGGACGGCCTCACATGTTTGTGGTATTTATGGAGTCGCCCCTTTTCCCATTCTCCTTACCATTTTTAAATATACCCCTTTCTCTCATTTTTCTAATGTTGGAATCCATATTGTCTTGTATCCTCTGGGAGACACATTACATTACATTCTTTCTATCTCCTTCTGCTCCAATGTCAACTTAGCCTTTTTTGGCTTTTTTTAACTGTCCATTCAGTGTCTCTGAATTAATATCAAGCTATATGTTTTGAGAATATATGTTTAGTGAAGCCTGCAATTTGAGATGTTTAATCACTGCTTTGTCCGCCCTTTTTTACTTTCTATGGTCTTAAAGCTGATTTGGATTGCTTGCTCTGCTGTCTATGCCTGTCAGCCTCAGTGTTTACCATCATCCAGCCTATTGGATGAGAGTTTTGGGTTTTGGCTGACCCTTCCTCCAAGGGATGTCTACCCTGGTTTTAAAGTAGTGACGAGCCTCCCACCGCAGTGTGATTAGTGAGTGGAGTTCTTTCAGAGTGCTCAGTGGGGAAATGGCTGGGAAGAGGCCTGCCATGGGCACACTGTGCATTATACTGCTTGGGCTGGCAGGAACACAGCAGCCCAGTGAGTGCTAAGATGTGGAGCCTCCATGACAAGGGCCTCTGTCCTGCCTGAGAGGTGCAGAGTGCTGCTGTATCAGGTGATCAGCCTCTCTGAAAAGCTCCTAAAAGGCTTTTCCACCCCTGTTTTAGCTCCCTGAGTGAGGAGAGTGGGATGCGCAACAGGATCCCCCATTTTCCAGGGTGTTGGATGTCCTGAGAAAAAGTCTGTGTACAATAGTGGCTGTGATGGCAGAGGCTGTGGAAGGCTGGTGCTGCTTTTTCCCTCGCGTCACAAGGCCTGTCGTTGTGTGATGGGAGCTGGAAGAGACGGGGTCAGGGTGGAGCGGTGTGGACACTAGGGAGCCTGCTGACATTCCCAAACTGTACTTAAGCCCTCACACCACTCTGCTTAGTCCAGATGCTGCACAAACACAGCAATGTCCTTTGTGTCTCAGCCCCAAACTGCCTGCAGCACCACACAAAACACATGTATGATAAAGATAAGAATTGCATGTTTAAAAATGGACACTGCACTTCATAACTTTCAAAGCCCTTGACTTTAATGCACTTATTGAGGAATTTTGGCCTTTTGTATATGTTTTACCTTTTATACTTGACTGTAAAACATTTTCCCTTAGGAAAAAGATGTCTGCATTGACCTTTACATTACCCATAATATTTGGCAACGTGAATGAATGTTTTTCAGGAAATCTATACATATCTTGATCAAGAGCTCTATAGGGTTGTGTCTTGAATAAGGAAAGTGACCTTTAATCAGAAGGTGTAGGTTCCAGTCCTTGTTGCAGGAAGCATTCACCCTGCTGAAGCAACAGTCCCCACCTACTGGCTTACCCTGACCTCTGATCCTCTCAAGAGGAAAGACGTGCAAAGAAAATGCATTGCTATAGGCATGTGTTGGAAACCCCTGTAGGAATATGTAATTAAAGCTATATCCATTAATGGTTCTAAAATGGCACTGATGCACTAAGTAAGGTCTGTAGCTTTGTACCCTATGGTTTTTTTGTTATGCCACAATGTGACTGACTGTTTTCATGGACTTTAATATCTACTAGCTCACCACCATGACAAAAGGAGCAAAGGCATCCTAGATTCCTGGAACCCGGGCATGAGATTGTATCTGAACTGGCCGGCCACCGTCATGATTCAGAGCATCTGTTTATATCATCAAGAAATAACCACAACAGGATCTCTGTTGCGATGCACAGAGCCAAAACCAAACTGCTCTGACCCGTCACTGGGCCATTAGGACCAGGCTCCATGTCTGGGTTTGTAGTTGCTGCGCTTTGAGGTTCCTGAGGGTTGCCTTCGTGGGCTGCCTGATCCTGTGCTGGGATAGGGTGGTTGCTTTATAAATATATCCCTCCTAGTGTAGGATGGCCAACTCCTGCAGGGTGACACTCAGTGTTGGCCCGTTGCAGACCAAACTTTTCCTCTTTATGCTAAATTTGGTGCAGTGGCCTTGGCTGTATGTCATGTGTCACTAAGCTCTTCATCCAGAGAGGGCAGGGTAAGTATTCATCCATACATCCTCTTTTCCATACAATTTCTGTCCACCATTCTCCTCACACTCTGCCAGCCAGCACGCCAGCGGCTAGCTTTGTCCTGCTCTATTCTGGAGGTTGTGGTGGACTGGAGTGCAAAGCTGTGGTCATTGTTTTGGACCAAAAATGAAGACCTGGCATGCAGGAATAGAACTTAGTTTGTTTTTTAAATGGAGTTACAATGTAAAACTTTACATTGCATGCACCGTTGGTTGAAGATTGAAGTTACTGTAAAGTAAATCTTCAAGACCGGAGACTTGCAGAGGTGAATGCACCTCACCTGTAGTGCCTTCTCCTCCAGCATTAAATGCAGACATGCATATCTTTTCCTTGACGATGATGGTTTGGAATGATGTACTATTTCAGGTCTGACATGAGTGGGGCTGTTTGGTTTGG